ATCAAATCAGCCTAACTGGAATCGATTGAACCATTTTATATGGCAGGACCCACATTAAATCACGTTGATAGGAGAAGCTAAAGAATCTCAAGATTCCTAGTTATGGTTAATGACCAATAACCAGGTCAAAATTTACTGCCACATTAAATAAGTTAAAATACACCAGTAGCAGCGAAGATAATCCCAGTATTAACTATAGACTTGTCGGGAATGGATCAAAGGTTGTAGTCTTTTTCGGAATGCAAATGCCTGCTGGTTAGCTGTAATATTTTCTGTGTAGCCATATTCCTTAACTGGATGTATCTCCTACTGTTTCGTGTATGGCTTTGGCACACCTCAACAACGACTATTCGCAGTGGAACCTTATTACTGACTTGATCATTTTTCTAAACCTGTAATTTGGCAACGAGGATGAGCTTAAGGATGCTACCCCCATATCAACACAAATGGTCGAATTTACCATAGCAGTTTACGCTTAGCACAAATACTAATCCGATTACTAACGATGTAAAATTGCTTAGTGTCCCAGTTACACTGATATGCATTTATGCCATTCAATGATACCCAACTTTGTGATGTCTTAATAGAATGCTTACGTGTGCTGATAAGTTATGGTGGCAAAAAATATGCTCACACGCCCACAACCATTCTGCAGGCAGAAATCCGACCCACCCGCGCACACACATTGACGCACTACAAGGCATCAAAACGAGATTAACCCTGTGTGTACGTGTTCCACATTCAGTTTGAAAGATTTTAAATAACCGAATCCAGTGAAATATCCTATTCGTGCCTTTGATGTTGCTTTCGGTTTTAAAATTCGAAGCTAATATCCGGTGTAACCTTTCCAGTCGATGTTTTGAATCTGTTCAAGGTAAGACACAGCGTCATATCAAAAAGTAAAAAACAACGATTTCGATCAACTTCACATTCAGATAGAAAGTTCTACGACAGTCTTAAACAGCGGTAGGATTTCTGAACGTTAAAGTGCCTTGTGATGTGAGCATACAAACGATTATGTCTAGAAACGATAACAGCAACGCTGCATCTCATGCATACCTACAGGACAATTTTATCCTTTGAAATGACTGTCTCTGGTGTGCGTGATCTGTGCTCAAACTTGAATTGTCAAGAGCAATTTCGTCAGGGTTTTACGCCTCAGTGTACATGATTTCGGCCAATTCACAATAATTTATGCCTAGAATATGAGGGCCTATTTAATGCATGAACAGTGGTTTTGTGCTCTTCCTAATCCTCCCTGTTGAATGCACCTTTGTAGTGATAGTGGCCCAATTAGAAACACCTCGGCATTTTGCATTATAAAATACCTACAATGCTAGACTGTATTATAGACTATTTCATACATGGGTTAGAGAACATTGAATTTCCCTCGTAATTCTGTGATGCAATCCACGTATATGTGTTATGCGGGATTTCGTGGTAGTGTTGTAGGCCCAGGCATGTGATGTCAAACCACGTCGGGGCCACTGGCTTGACGCTACTCTGCTAGCCGCGATGATGAAGAAGACCGGAGAGGACGTGGACAGAACCGTCTACTTCTGAGCTCAAATAAGTTAGTGCCGTTGTGTCGTGTATGGTGTTTGCGCGTGTGCACTAATAGCCTGGAGGGAGGTACAGTGAAACAGTGTGAGTCATAAATGCGCTAACATCGAGACATAGATGATAACCCTGGATTCACATTCGCGATAATGAAGTCTTAGTCGAGGTGCCGCTTGTCCGACGACTTGTTTTGAAAAGGGAGTCATCATCGCGGCGAATGGGATGACCGAATTAAAGAATGCAAATTAACGCGATTCACAACACTAAGAATGCCAATTTCTTCAGATTACGTAGACAAGATCAGTAATCTTGAAAGCAAGAAGACCTGCTCTTAATGAAAAGCTTTGACGTGGCATTGTTAGGCCAGACTAGTACCATTTTCCAGTCTGGAACATATTTTAATCAATCCAATGAGATCGCATAATAAAGGGGCCGGAAAACTCCACCGGAAGGAATAAAGTTTCATAAGATCGTATACTAGGAAAACCAAAAAATCCCGATGATGATCGATTTAGTTATTTCCATGAAGCAAATGAGCCGAAGGTAATCCTTAAGCCGACAAACCACACCGCTAGCATAACCTTAGATGCAGAGATTCTCCTCACGTCTATTTAATATGTTGAGGGCCCCGTCATGTTGTCGTGATCCACGCCGGGGCCACTGCGACAACCTAGGCCGAATACGTTACCCTGTGTTCCCGTGAAAATAAAGAAGACCGGAGTGGAGGAGGCACAACCGTTTACTAGACAGGTCAACCAAGTTGTGTTGTGTTGACCAGAACAGCTGAGTGGACTACTAGGGATACAGGCGCCTGAGTGGGCACATGGATAAGGCGGGTGGTGGTGGTACACACAGGGCGTGTTAATGAGCAGACGGTGCCAGTGACTGACGGGCACGCAGTCACTAGGGGGACGCGTGTGTGAAGCTGCGACGACCGGTGTGTTGGACGTGAATCAACACGATTCACTAAAAATACAAGGTAACGGTTGGTATTGTAGTGCTAGTGTGAACATAGTGTTTACGGTCCAAAAGACATGCACAAACTTCGTCACAATCTTATCCAGGGCACCTTGAGTTTATTCACAAAACCGCAGGTGCATAGTCGTACTTTAACGCAACGTTAACATGTAAAGCAGTGCTGAAAACGGCAGTTTGTTTTCACGATTTGGTTGTCATCGGTACGAAGAGTAATGGGGATAAGTGTAGAAGACCACTCAACACATAACTACTTGTTTTCCTCTGACGATTTTGAGATAGCACGCCCAAAGGCCAACTTAAATGGCCACAAACAGTGCCAAAGTGCAGCCTAAAACATCTGATCTTTAAAGATGCCCTCTTTCAGAGAAAAATTCATCATTTTGCTATTGAACCTATGGGCAAATAGGACTTGAGCGCCATATGAAACTGACAGCATGCTATTATTATACAACACGTGATCATAACCAATAGCAATTCACCATTCACATCACGGTGATTCGCCTATGGAACTAACAAGGCACACTGGCAGATTAGACGTAGTGGTCGTGGTTTGTTTGTGTGAAACATCGCATCGCATTCGAGGTGTCCGTTGTCAAAGAAATATGCGGAAAGGAAACCACCTGAGCTGTAGATTGAGCAGTGGCTCAGGAAGTGACCATGTCGGGCCGAATTCATTGGATCTACGAAACTCGTATTGTGCTGGTCCTCCCAACATGTAATAGCTCCTCATGAGTACAATTTAATATGCTAATCTCATGCTGCAGTATGAAGAGACGAAGAATCTAGAGACTCGGCAGTTTATTGGGCTACGAATCAGGGTTATACCTAGTTACAGCTTGCGAAATATGTTGGCGCAAGTGTGCGATTGTTGAAGGTGTGATAGTGATGACGCACACCTCTGTGAAAGCTTGAAGACTGTGTGACAGTGAGAAATATACGTTTCGAGATGACTGACATTGCTCGATTACCCCCGTTGGTTCACTGATTACTGACCACAACTTACGAGAAAGTTTTACTGTTGAAATTCTAGAACAGTATCAGTCCGAGGAAACGAAAATATATTCATTGTTTCGCGCCAGAATAAACCTTGGAGTTAGAGTAGTCAGTAAATCAACTAACATCACATCGATAATGATTACATACACCTTTTTGGAACCAAAATGCTGTCCACAGCACCAACTGATCTCAGCCCCTTTCGTGCAAATTGGAAATCAAAGGCAGACGCTAAGTCAAAATCGATTTCAATGGGGTAATATAAAGCCTTTTAGTTGTTTATCTCTTAATGAAACAACGAGCAGTAACCCCGAAGGGCAATGCCACTTACTAATGCTATGCACGAAACATACTTAAGCCCAGTAAAAATGTTTAGAACGACGCGTATACGTAGCCCCGGAGCGATCGCAAATGCCCTGGGTTTCACGTTCCTACATCTACTTACTAGTAATGAGAAAATCTGCAATCTGAGGCATCATGTAATCTTTGTATTGGACACGCTTAACCCAACCATGCACAACCTGCGACCTTTTGCTCATGCCATTACATAGAAAAGTAAGTTAAAGAGTAACCGATCCCTGCGACTAGCATCAGCACTTCTAATTGACCGGTTCTTTTCACATCCCATAAAGTGCTAAACGGATGTATGCACCGATTAGCGCTTCAGTAAACAGATTATCAGTTAAAAAAGAGCACTTGACTTTGTTCTAAGGCTCACAAAGGACATCCCCAAGATGCACGCACACTCTGTTAACACCAAAGCTGATTACCATCTCATTCAAGTGAATTCGGATGTGAAGGTAAGTGCCGTCCCACTGATATCGCGGAGTACGAATTAAGGCAAAGCGAGTCAGCTCTACCACGACCTAAAAAGCAGATGACGAGGCGTGTGATGGTCTATAGGCGATTTGTGCGGACTTCAAAAAACCAAAAAGTGCAGTCACCTTCCTGCGTCGGATATTTAAGCACGCATTAAACAGTAGACACGCAACCTAGCCAAAAGTTCTTTGAGGAAAGCGATTCACGCGTTTAATGTTACAAAAAGGGGAAGCGAGCCAAAGAAGCGTTAACATCCATTACAGGTCCCTCCACTAGAAATACGAGGGTTTTGCGTCACCCAAGTCAAAAGCGCACCCCATCATCAAAATTACAGTCTTTTAGCACGCGGTAGCAACGAAAGACGTTGCAGAAACGCTTTTATTTGAAGTCGTATTTCAGAAGGCGTTTATGTACACTTGATTCAAGGTAATCAGAAAAGGAGATCCATGAGAAACAACCGCCTTCAACGGCAGTCTGTGGGTACTCGGTAAAAAATAAAGAGGGCTAGGTTTTTGAGAGAGGGTGATCTCAGTAATGCTGCCGTTGCTAAAACCTCCATAAGTATGTATATACACACACACACACAAAACAAGGGTCTACAAGTAATTTTGAAAGACTGGTACCAAGGGGCGAGGTCTTGAAAGACGTAATCACCGCCGATTGGACGAGCCTCCGTCAAGCCATTTAGTGTAGAAAGAGGGTTGGAGGGACGTTTTAGGCGGCGGTTCATGTGGGAAGGTTCGTCGGGGAGGAGCAGGCACTGAGGGGATATAGGTGGGTTCATACGTGTCACCCGCCCCTGCGCTTTCCTGCCTCTCGTTAGAGAAGTTGGGCCTGGACGGACTATAGGAATAACCGCTAATTGAAGCGTTCTTCCGCGGCGAATAGGTCTCGACTTCAACGCCATTTGTCTTTGACGCAGATGAGTCTCGACGAGGCGACCGCTTGGAAGATGCAACAACTGACCTCCCTCTATGCACTTTGCGCTCAAGCCGAATCCGTTTTTGTGAGTCGTCGGTATCCTCACCATCATTTCGATCAGTTTTCCTGCGTGAGGGTGCTACACTTACGCAGCGCGAACTACGATTCCGCGATCCCTCATGATCCGTTCGGTGTTTTTTGATGGGAGCAGAAGGTTGTGACGATGGAGGCGACGGACCCCTGCGTTTCGTTTTCTTCTCGTCTCCGGCTTCATCAGACGGTGTTTGGCTGCTCAGTCTCCGACTTTGATGTTTCTTGCCTTTGTGTATAACCAGGTCAGGGGGGCGGACCGGGAGAGCTTCAAATGCAGGAGGCGGCGGCGGCTTCGGTGACTTGGAGCGCTTTGGTTTACCTTGAGATGTGGGCTTTTGTGGAGGAGCAGCGGGCTGCGGTTTTTTGGGTGACAGAACAGAACTAGGCTGCTGTTGATGTGCATCGGGACAGGCAGAGAGGCGTGACACTATTCGCCGGTGGCGCTGTAGCACACTGTCGATGAAAACAATAAGAGGATTCATATCGGAGGTGGGGGCTGGGGCGACAAAAACCGGGAGCTGACGCTGAGTCTGCTTGTCTTCCTCACTGCCGAAAACAGCAAATCTGTCAGTAGGGAGGACGAGTTCAGACTCCCGACGGGACTGCAACGATTCGTGAGCAAACGATGTCATATGAAAGACTTTGAGTAAACGCTCTAGCGTCGAACGAGGCACTGTGCACATTGTCGGATCTAAAATTTGACAAGTAGATTAATTATTTGGCAGTGTATGCACAACGAGTGAAGATATGCCAGAGTACTTGACTAAGGGCACACTTGATGTTGATAAAAATCGACTAGGGCAAATCACTTGACGTGAGTGCCTGTTGAGTAAAAACCAACCAACAAGATAGGTCGGGAATGAAAACTCAAAAGCCATGACGTATCCAAGAGAACCGAGTCAGTTTTTGTGTTTTCGCAAACTGATATTGAGTGCGTCCAAATTTCCGACATTCAAACATCGCACGATGGTACAATAATTTCGTACGTGCGTGTTTTTCTAAAATAGCGCAAGCATATGCTCGATTTATTTTACCGACGATGCGCAAATTCACGGTCAAACATTGAGGACATCGCGGAGGTTAAGTCATTTGGGGGCAGAATTGGTTATTAGAACTTAATAACAACCTACAACTGATGCGACACTGGAAATTTCGTACAAAAACTAGGCTAGCAGAAGAGACGTAGTTTGATAACATGGATGTTATTTGCTTCAAATGCTACAATAGAGCTGTGAAAACCTGAATGGTAGCAAGTTTAAAAACAAAACACATGGGTTCGAAACCGCTTTACCGAGTTAAACTTCTCAAATCCCCGAATAGCACTCCCAACTTGAATCACATTAGAAGTAGGTTTGGTTGGCGTATGGTACAAACTTACGATCAGCGAGTGATCAACTGCTACACTTCAGTGGTGCCGTACTCAATAATAGAGTGGACAACGGTAGAGTTTCTTCAGTAAGAGCTGCAAACGAACGCTGCCCGAGTTAGCTTAGAGGGAGAAAACTCACTGGATTTGTCGTCTCCTCCACCTTCATCTGACATCGCCCTGTCTGCATAGTCGGACTTAAAGTGTTCTCTGCAATCGTCTGCGACACCGTTTCGCTCGGTTGATGAGGAGAGGGTAGATGTGGGGTAATCGCGATGAGAGTTGAGAGGGGGTTCTCGATTATCAGAAGAGAAGGGGGTCGCGTCAAGTACTAGGTCCTCGTCATTACTGAGCAAGTTTAGCCGCAACAGACTCTCATCTTTCATGACCTGAAGAAAAATGGAAATTAGCTAGGAGATACATGACCATAGTACCAAACTTTTACCTATCGGTAAAACTGTTGTGTAGAAGTCTGAATAAAGAAAGACGACGATTATGCAGTTTACTGAATTTATTCAAGATTAACTACAAATCCGAAAAAAGTTGATAATGCGTTCGGTCACAAAGGCTCACAAGGAATGATTCATTTACTACATCGCGGGGGCTATAACGCACCTTTTAAAGCATAGCGATATTTCTCAAGGGAGTTCGCAAACTTATAACAGCAAATAACCATCGACCAATAAGCACAGACTCTAGTGTGTACAAATTACACCCTCACCCGGTCACGTGTTTAGATTACGGAGACGGCACGCACGTACGTGGGCGCACAGCCCTTGGGCCGAGTTGCAAACACGTGTACACACGCACACACCCCTTAGTGATTTGTTTTCAAGTTGTGAAATTTCATGGTTTTAGGCGTATTTAATCACAAAGGTTATTCGACTTCGTTTTGGGAGACTGGTATTTCTCGAATGAAATATTTTTTTTTTCAAATCATAGACATGGAACCATTATGACGCACTTATTGGAATATTGGGTCGTTGTCTAAAAGTACCTAAGCTTACGCTACGGATGTGAGGTAATTTCTTTGTAAAAAACAAACAACACTAAAGACGAAATGATAAAAAGCCAATTTAACCCGATGAATGAGGGAGAGGTCCGTGTACAGAGTGTAAGAAAGACAATCAGCACGGACAAAACAGATTTTATTGAGGAAAAATATGCAAATAGCAGAGGGTTTCATAGGGTCCAGATCGTCATAAAGCCATGTTTTAAAGACTAAATTATTTGTACATGAAAATTACGTGCTAGTCCACATTCAATGACTCATCCATCCTCCGCTTCTTTACAGAGCTAATAACTATACGGAGGTTGATCGATGTAAAACCACCACAAAAAACGTCAACGGAGCACAAGTTAATTTTCCCAAACAATAGAGCATGTTAACCGAGGTACAGTTTAGGGAGCTTGACCTGACACGTAGATGGCCCCATATGGATATTTGTCAGAACCATTATGCGCTTTATATTATCAACTTTACAAAGAAGACTAACCAAAGGTATCGCGACGTAAAAGCATGAATTAAGACTGATGGAGCAAATGTTTTCACCTAATTTCAGCCCTACTGACCTACATTTCGACGTAAGCTTGATGTTGAGTGGTAGCCGAAGTTAACCCGCATGCCTAGCAGGACTCCGTCACACTGACATTTATAATACTGTGCTGTAGATGAGAGGAAAAATCTGGTTGAATGAGACACGCGGAACACACATGGTGTTGTTAGTGTGTTTATTGAGAACCCACACATTAAATGATCACGTGGTAGGGAAGACAATAAAAATGTGCGCGCTACAAGCACATCCGGTTCACCGAAATCACTAGTGGACTGGTAAGGGTGAAAAGGCGTGCAAGAAATCAGTAGATTCAGCTCCTGGACTTGCGCACTCGCACAGTCACATGCGCAGTTTTTGTGGTGTATTCTTTTTGCATCAGCGGTGCAGACGCCTATACGCACTAGGTCGCGCGCGGCGAAACAACGCCTCCGCGACCGCCAATCAAAATCAGCTCAACACGTGCTTTTTCATGCTGCCTATAGGGCTCAATGAAGTCGGCCTAAATTGCTGCCCTAAAGCACTATTTCACAAAGGAGTAGGAAGGTGGACATTTGTTGTGAGATAAAAGCAGATTGGCGCACTAACCCAAATACTGGTGCAATAATGGTCACTATTTCTACAAAACACACCTTTTTCCTTAAATCCTGTTCCTGTTCAGAGAGCAATTGATAAAACTTGTCACTGACAACTGCCTTTACACGCGCGAGAGCTGAGTACCAGAGATCGGACCAGCGCTTGGCGTCTTCTCCAAGCTCAGCAATCCTACTGATGGGCAAGTCACGACCACCAGTCGCCTTGCTACACCGGATAGCCACCCAGGCGCGTCGGAGGAGCTTGGATTCCGCCCGCCGCATCCGAAGAGCCGTTTTGGCCAGACTCTCGAGGGCCTGGTCGTAGCGTCGTTTTGCATCTGCCAACGACGTGGACATGAGCGCCGCGACAAGAATGTGGCGAGTAGACGCCAGAATCCTCTCGGGATAGGATGTAAAATCAGTCTGGTTGAAGAGAAAGTGAAGAAGACGCTGGGTCTCCGAAGAGCACGAACAGACGAAGGGTTTTATCAGAGAGTTCGGGGTGGATGCGGACGAGGAAGAAGTGGAGGCCACGAACTGGACAAGCTGACTCCAACAGGCGGCAGCCTCTGTATCCAAACGGCTCGCCTGAGTTAACTGCTGCTCCTCCGTAGTATTTTCATATCTAGACAGACGACACATCAAATATACATTTGGGCTCTCTTAGACAATAAGCGACAGAAAGAAAGCATTACTTGTTCTAACTTACGGTAAGAAGCCCAATGTGTGTACGGAACTAATAATTGGGGGGAGTGAGTCACGCAACGTAGTATTGACAGAATTAAAGTTAAGCGAACATCGGTTTTGGAATTAGTTTCTGACTTCCTTCACACTTAAAAGACTCCGGAAAAGTGGAGTAGAGAAAACTAGTCGCATGAAAAGCGAGTTCGAAAAAGTTTGGCGGCCCCAAGCGTTTGATGTTTTCGCCATAAACAAAACCTGACGTCTACAACAATGCTAAACAGGGCGTTAATGGATGAGTCTTGCTCTCTAAAATAGGAAATGTTTCTGATTTCAAAATTACGTCTTTTAATAACACTAAAACCAGAGCAGGGGCTTGTGGAAAGCAAAGATGAACTGTTTTAAAACACTGTCCAAAATCGGAGGAAACTAGACAGTCCCACATTATCGGATTATCAAATTAGAGTACCCACAAAGGTTTAACGGAAAATCATCCATAAAAATAGCCACCAAAATTCCGAAAAATAATTCTCGTACGATACAAACCGAAACAACAACTGCATCAATGGAAAGTGAGTGCAAATATGGGAATCAAGTCATGGTTCAATATGAACACAACCAGCATTCACGGGAACGCTAAACAATAGCACAGAAAACTTTATAGCTGCGCCACGGTTACCTAAGTCAGGTTATACTTTACGGAATTCCTCTGAAACTTCAGTGGATAACGTAGCTCGTGTGTTCACTGCACAATCAGATAAGTGTCACTTCTTATCTACCCTTACCAGCCACATTTAAACACGAATGAATGGGTTTTGTGGGCTGTTTTTTTGCATGGATTTAGGCTAAATGTAGCCAATTGGTGAACTTGTAGCGGAAGTACAGCGGTCAGCAGATGAAAATGACGGTCGCTGATTAAATTTAGGAAAAACAGTGAGCAGACATAAATCACAGCAACATCAACCCATTTCTAGTGTATTCGCCAGTACCATCTAAATTTTATAGCGCAACTATTGAGGCAAAGTAGCTTTGTTTGAGAATAATAAAAACGACGCAAAAAATTTGACAAATTAAGAAAAAAAACAAACCTCCGAATTATGCGTTCCATTACTTCGTCGTTATGCTTGAGGACTCTGCTAAGGTAATAGTCGGTGGACTGCACCAAGGGGGAACCATTTTCTATAACACGGGGAGACAGCGACGCTGTATCAACACACACCGACGTTTGCTTAACCATGAAATGAGATGGGCTTGTACTAGTAATGGCAGAGACCTGGATGCAAGGAGAAGTCTGTGTTGCTGAATTAGTTCCTTCACGTGAATCAAGCTGCGTCCCAAGTTCTGTTGTTCTTCTTGGCGTCATCAACGTACCAGTCTCGACGCGGCTAACTGTTTGTTTGAGGTGGCACGGGGCTAGGAGAACCGCATTCAATTCTCGAGGTGTCCTTTTACTAGGGGCGGAGTTAGGGATTCGTAAGCTATGTAGTATGAAGCGAATAGAAGCCAGTTTATCGGTCGTGGAGGATATATGATGTATTGAAGAACTTAAAGCTATTGCGGGGATCCGAGGACGCAAATCATGTGAAGGGAGGGAGGGTACAATAAACGGAGCGGAAGGGCAACGACGGGAAACTTTGCCGTTCTTCTTCAGTTTTTGATTTCGTGGGTTTTTATGCTGCTGCGTCAACTTTCTATTTTTATGAGAAGATGAGGACGACGGTGAGTTCAGCTTTTTCGAGGATTTTTTTTCCTTTTTTGGCAAAGGAGGTGAAGCTACATTAGTGGAAGAGAGGCCAGATCGTCCTATGTCACTAACAGTGGCTGGAAGTGGAGACACTCTTTTAAGGGTAAAATACTGTTGCCCTGATTTGAACTTCTCGTCGCTACGCAACGGAAACTCGAGTTCGCCACCTTCTGTCGACAATTCATTGGCACCGATTAGGAAGTTGTCCGGCAGGTACTGTAGCGGCTTGCAAAACGCCTCCGCATCTGCCAAAACGCGGCGAACAAACTGCTCAGTTTTTTCATGCGTGTCGATCAAAGCCGATGGAACGTTTTCCTGGTTGCTCAAACACTGAGCCGGCAAGGAGGTCAAAGTGTTTACTTCCTCTGTGGAGTTTTGACTGTGACCAAAAGAACAATTTGCCTCGGGGACGCGAACAACCAATGGCGAGTAGACACCTCGTTTGTTAAGAGCCTTCGAGTGCGTTCCCCGGTCATTTGTACCGCTACGAGACTTTGTCTTCGAAGGACTATCCGTTTGCCGATCGCAAACGCGCTGCCTACAAAAATTAAAACATTTTTATAAACGAGTCAAAACGGGGAAAAATCAAATGCCATACGACACTATTTCGATTAGAAACATCGTGAGGTGCATTTACACAAATCCGCCAAAACGCAATAAATGCGGCTACGCGGATAATATCACTGATACTCAATCACATACGAAACACAAGTGTAAAACAATAGCAGGATAGCGTTTAGGTTAAATGTTAAAAACCTGAATCACATTGGTGATGGTCAGACGTACTTCGGGACATCACAAGCCGGTGTTAATTTCGCCTTCGATAAAAGAGGTGAAACAATCGGTGGAAGTGGGCGATCCGTATCAGCTATGTCCGGTGACCGATTCTGATGTTTGGTATCTCCCTTCAATGATACGGGTTTGGAGAGTTTTTCAGGTGAAGTGACGCTGACATCGGATTTCTTAACACCATCATCACTTTCATCACTCTCCGAAAGCTGAAGTGTTTTTATAAGCCTAAAATAAATCAGTCTGACCTCAACGAACAAGAATGGATTCCTTAGTATATAACGCTTATGAAGAAACTTATGGACAAACAGCATGAAATCAGGGGGTAATTCAAAAACACTGGGTGCATTTGTGACAACAAGACACACAAGCCAAAAGCAGATGCGATACTTTGTCATTAAAAGCCCACAGATTCAAGATTGTACAAAGAAGCAACTCACTCTTTTTGCTGAGCCAACGTTATGGTATTCACTTGATGTTTCTCGCGGACTCGAGCATTATTGGATAAGTCGTCGCGACGCCGAGAATCCGAAGGACTAATCCCCAAGGTCGACTTGTCTTCAGGCAACGAAGTTGCAGGAATCTCATTACTAAGAACTTCATGCAAAATGCTTTGTGCTTACTCAAAACATCCCAATGCTTTGAACCTAATAGACCAGCCCTTCTCCGACTGATCGTGGAGATACACCATATGAGTAGGGTCTTGGAGTTCTAGTGTAGTGTAAATTTTACTTTATTTGGTTTACCTTGAACGGTGTGTTTCGGCCACACGATCTTCCTAAGATCAGACTTCTCCCGAGCCGAAGGGTCACCAGTAACTACGGCGACGAAGTCAGAAACGGTCATGCCCATTCTCTCTCTAATTATTCTGCTGTCATGATCATTAGGGGACGACTGCACAACGTGAATAACAAAAACGCTTTTGTACCTCCACAAGCCATAATTTGGTCTTCGGTTTAGATGACTGCGACATCGATGAATATGTATCAACCCGAATTTGGGATCCAGACTTTACTGAATGATATAAAACATCAAAAATTACTGAATTCTCTCATACACATTATTGCATCGATTAAATTGATAACAAAAAATCTCCAAGCACACAACAATCAAAACCTGCGCATCTCAAAAGTACAAAATACTTTAAAAACCCCTCCTTGCTTTTTCCGTACTTGGTATAACAACTAACACATTTTGTATTTTTGCCATTAATACCAAGGTATAAACAACTGTTTTACTAAAAAAGATTAAAACTAAGTTACTTTATTCGAAAAAAACAGAAGCAAAAGTGAAAAACACACTTCGAACAACAATTTCAGCGCTAAATTAAATTGTATTTTTCAACGATAATCTGAACCACTAATAATTATGCAAATGCAAAAACAGAGATTTGACTATCGTAAAATAACAGACGTAATGCTTAAAATCCACGAAGCATAGGTTATGCCCTAAAAATGCAAGAAAAGGCTTTTTTTTAAATAAAAACACTGCTACGTACCAGTCCAAGACTAATTCGCGACAATTTAACAACATCTCATTGTACTAAAATAATTTTTTTTTTTTGATGATAAATTCTATGTAAATTATGCAGTTGCAAATTTAGGTAAACTTTTTACAAGGTTAGGGAATTGACATATTGGTAAGCAGGAGTGGCTAGCGAAATCCGCCAGCAGATAACGTTACCTAAAAATTTTGGAGTTAATGCACGAGTTAACCCTCCATAAGGACAAAGTAGACAACCGCATCACTATTATGTCTTTTAAGTTCTAAGAGTAAAGCAATATACATTGAGTGAAGTAAACAGTTAGGACTGAAAACCCTACGGACACCTTGGCCACAATGTAGGAGTGCGGATCTAGATCGCCTTCCAAATAAACTTTTATAACCCTCGATCTACATTCTGACAATGTTTAAGAGGGTCCTTTTCCATTATTGTTCTTGTAGTGGCTTAGTTAGTTCTACCTTACAACACTCTGGTTAGCATCCCACTACAACCCGTGAATATGGGAAAGGAGGCTACAGAGAACGCGACAGATTATTAGCGTCACATCGGCTAAGGGCCTTTGTGTGCATATGAGTGCTTGGGCTTAACCTGTTAAGGCTAATAGAAGCCAATACCAAAATGGGTGTCATGGGTATACTTGGGCCATCATACACCCATCACTCATGCGAGGTGGCTGTCTGTCCACTACAGCAGTCATTTGACTTTGCTGCTTACTACCCTGACATATATACCTTCGTAGAACATCCAGGATCTAGTGCATATACATTTAGGACATAAATGGCTTTCATGTAACCTCGAATTTCAGACCAGTCTGTTAAAAGGAAATTGACTCGACTCCACTACATTAGATGCACGGCCGATTGTTTGGTGTCTCTTATCCATCCTTGTGTCTCGACGGCTGATGATCTGTTACTTTTAGTGTATTTAAAAATATTACTCAACAAGATTGCCTAATTGTAGCGCAACAAAAATATCTGCGCATTTCTACGTCACAAACAGCACTCATTACATTTTAGGTAACCCGAATAATTGTCTGGAAAAACCGGGCACATGAAACATGATTTTGTGATCAATTACAGGCCATACCGATGTGACAAGCGTTGTTCATCTTGAATGCAGCACCGCTCATTATCAAATGCCTCTTTTTCGTCCATGTTTAGAATACCCGAATTCTAGCATAAAGACTGGTACAACAGAATAGGCATAATTGACCAATCATAAGCCAGGACCACACGTCCGGCACCGTCCACCCGGTTCCACCGCACTGGCTGCATTGCCTAAATGTATGCTACTTCTTATGCGTGTCTGTCTCTGGTTATCTTCTACGCATGAAAATCTAACATAAAGAGACAAGATTAGCTAAGGCCGTCGTGGTCCGATATGTCTGTGTCCTTATGCGTCGTCACACTGCCTCCCTCCCTGGAGAGATGCTGTTCTTTGCACCTTGCTTGGCTCCCCGTACTGTTGATTATTGACAAAATATTCAGTTCAACTGAACGATACCCCACATCTACCAGGTCAGTGGCCCAAGCGAATAAAAGACGAGGGACTTTGCTCTTGTTGACTTGCACGATGGCCACTTCATCCGTCTCGGGTTACTTCTCCTTGTTCAGTTAAACTGGCTTCTACTGTCCTTTACGTCTTTGCAGACTTATTGATGCCTTCTCAGATTCAGCAATCCTAAGTCAGGGCAATGAAGGGTCTTCACCTCTGTTGTCTAAAGCAAAGAAAGGTCTGGATTTGCGCAAATCAAACGCCGCCCGCTGCCACCAATGTAGAATGCACGAGTCATAGCATTCAAGGTGACTGATATTACAGAATAGGCTTTATTGACAAATACCAAACCAGAATCACACGTCCGGCGCCCTTCATCCGAGTCCACCACGCTAGCCATGCCGCTCAATAAATACTGAACCTCATTCGTATCCTTCTCTGGTTGGCTGCTTATCTTACGCGCATGCCTTTGGAACACAGAGAGACACAGGATTGGCTGAGGCCAGGTGGTCCAATATATCTGCGCCCAGATCCGTCGCTACACTGCCTTCCCTTCATAAGTGAAGCTTTCCTGAGCTTCTGGCTTAATTCACCGCACTGTTCATGATTGCTAAAATATCCAATTCGACACTCTCCTCACCCCACATCAGGCAGGATAGTGGCCCATTCGAATAGTTGACGAGGGACTTGGCTCTTGTAGACTTGCAGGAAGGACACTTCATCCATCGTAGGTCCATTCGCAGTTGCAGTCCAGCTGGCTTTTACTTTCCAAGTCGTCGTCGCTGAGTTGCCAATGCCTCTTCAGATGCAGCAGTCCTAATCCTGGGCAGTGTCTATGGATCCAATGTTTGGGACATCGGATGACCGCCATGACAACTCCAGCAATCATCTAGGAGGTCTTTGCCTCTGTTGACCATTGTACGGAAAGCGTTGGGGTCCGATTCGCGTAATTCGAACGCATCCGCTGCAACCAATGTAGAATACTCAAACTCTAGTATGAATAAGACTGGTACAACAGAACAGGCTTCATTGACCAATCAGAAGCCAGAGCCACGCATCAGGCGCCTTCTATCCGAGTCCACGATGCTGGCCATGCCGCTCATTATATACTGCATTTCATCCATGTCCTTCTCTGGTTGGCTGCCTTCCTTTCCCGCATGCCATTGGATCGCAGAGAGACGCGGGATTGTCTGAAGCCAGGTGGTT